AGGGAGGTAGAATTGATCAAGTGACCTGTCTTCTATCTCCTTCCTAGCTGTTTCACTGCATATGCCCAGTGCCTGGGCACAAGGCCTCAAATGCAGGATTAAGTGATACCTTGATGTGAATGCCATGGATTCCTGCTGGACTAGTGCCACCAAGAGATTACTTCCTTTTGGTCTTTTTCTTTGGAATATGGCAAGTTCCCAATTAAAAGATAGACTCTTATTCCCCATTGCCTTGCCTCTCAAAGTCTGCATCAGCATCACCTGAGAGCTGATTAGAAATGCAAAATCTCAGTTCCTATTCAAACCCACTGAGTCAGAACCACTATTTTATAACAAATCTCCTGGAGATCCATATGCACATTAAAGTATAAGAAGTACTGCCCAATAGGGCTTAAAAATACCACTTCCCTTCCCTCCAGACCCCTGCTCCCTGGGAAATTCATCTCCTCTTTCATTAATTTTTCCCAAATCACATTATTCAGAAACCCAAAATGGGGCACCCATCTGTGGAACCCCTTTACATTAGACTGCCCCCAGATTTCCTAACACTTTAAAACCTATGATAGGGATTTTTGGTAAAGTGAAATGCGATAATTCAAGTAAAGTTCTTAGCTCTTTATCTGGGCACAGGAAGAATTCAATCAAGGATAACTGTTTTAATTATAGTGTCCTTAAGTATTAGCTATGAGATTCAGTTCTGAGCAAGCCAGGGCGAATAAACTGAGAGGCTTACGTTTAAAAGAGCTCACTGTCCAGTACAGTAGCCACTAGCCACAATTGACTCTTTACATTTATTATTATTATTTTTTACTTATTTATTTTTGAGACAGGGTCTCGCTCTGTTGCCCAGGCTAGAGTGCAGTTGCACAATCTTGGCTTACTGCAACCTCTGCCTCTCGGGTTCAAGAGATTCTAGTACCTTCGCCTCTGGAGTAGCTGGGGCTACAGGCGTGCGTCACCATGCCCGGCTAATTTTTGTATTTTTAGTAGAGACGGGTTTTACCATGTCGGTGAGGCTGGTCTCAAACTCCTGGCCTCAAGCAATCCATCTGCCTCGGCCTTCCAAAGTGCTGGGATTATAGGTGTGAGCCACCACATCCAGCCTAATTTAAATTTAATAAATTATAGCCTAGTTCTGTCAATAAAAAAAAAATAGGCTGGGAGGCCAAGATGGGCGGATTACCTGAGCTCAGGAGTTCAAGACCAGCATGGCTAACAGGGTGAAACCCCATCTTTACCAAAAATACAAAAAATAGCCGGGCATGGCAGTATGCACCTGTAATCCCAGCTACTCAGGAGGCTGAGGCAGGAGAATTGCTTGAACCCAGGAGGTAGAGGTTGCAGTGAGCCAAGATGGTGCCATTGCACTCCAGCCTGGGCGACAGAGCAAGACTCCATCTCAAAAAAAACAAAAATAAATAAATAAAAATAAAAAATAAAAAAATAAAAAGTTAATGGTGTAGTCCCTCAGTTGCACCAACCACATTTCAAGTGCTCCGTTGTCACATGGGGCTGGTAGCAACCATACTGGACCTCCCAGATCTAGAACCTTTCCATCATCACAGCCTATGGACAGTCCTGGTCTAGAGGGCCTGTGGAATGTACAGCGGCCACCTGAGGAATGCATTCTGCTTGGGTTGCAGGCTGAGAAGAAGGGCTTTCTTAAAGGCAAAAGTTCATATAACTTTTGCTAACAGTTGGGGATGGGGGGAGGGTTGATGATCCCCACCCTCAGAAATAAAACCACAACAAGGACTTCCAGTAACTTTATGTAAAAGACTCAGACAGATACAGAAAAGAGGCCCCAACATAAAGAATTTCTAAACTTTATTCTTTTTGTTATCGTCTGTCCTCTGGTAGTGATCAGTGGTCAGTCTTTGGAAAGAAAGGACCTATGAACTCAACTTTAGTTATAGCAAAGAAATGAGCAGGAGAGGGAGGGAATGGCCAGCAGCCATTGAAGAGGGAGAGCACGCTGGGCCCAAGGGGCACCCAGTATTGGCAGAAAGGAAAGCTCAGGGTGTCAAGTGAGCCTGAGAAGGGATCATCTGGCTGAACAAGAGAGGTCCACATGCAGCTCTCAGCACACACTTGTGCATTCCAGCCTCAGCATTTGCTCACACCAGTTCCCCGCCTAAAATGCCTGACATTCTCCCTCTCTACTTAACTCATGTAATAAATTTTTACTGAATGCCTGTAAGTGCCAGATATTCTGAGCAGAGTTGGTCACAGATAAAGGTGTGTTGTAGAGTCATTAAAATGGTCAAGTATTTGACTGGATCTCCATTTGGAAAAAAAAAGAAGAAAAAGTCCTATCTTAACACTATACAGAAAAATTAATTATAAGATGATTTTATAAATATACAAATAAGACTATAAAAATACTAGAAAAATGATCTTAGTTCCACCATATAAAAATAAATACTAGAAAAAACACAGAAAACATTGTGATCTGAGGTAGTAAAGACCGTCTTAAATCAGACAAAACCAAAAAGCAGTGAAAGACTGATAATTTGGACTTCATCAAAATTTAGAACTTCTCTTTAACAAAGAATATCACCAAACTTAAGCAACATAATACTAATTTTTTTCTTAAAATATATTCTGAAGAAAACAATTACAACATATAAAATTAAGAACTAATGCTCAGCTGGGGGCAGTGGTTCACGCCTGTAATCCTAGCACCTTAGGAGGCCAAGGTGGGCAGACCACTTGAGGTCAGGAGTTCTGGACCAGCCTGGCCAACATGGTGAAACCCCATCTCTACCAAGAAATATAAAAATTAGCTGGGCATGGTGGCACGCACCTGTAGTCCTAGCTACTTATAGCTATTGTATAAGGTAATCTTATACAATATTTTAAATACTTTTGTGCATGAAACAAATTTTTGACTATGATCCATCACATGAGGTCAGGTGTGGAATTTTCCACTTCTAATGTCATGTTAGTGCTCAAAAAGTTTCATATTTTGGAGCATTTGGGATTTCGGATTAGGGATGCTCAGGCTGCAGTTTTGGTTTTTCTTTTTCTTTTTTTTTTGAGATGGGATCTCACTCTGTCACCCAGGCTGGAGTACAGTGGCGTGCCATCATAGCTCACTGCAGCCTCAAACTCCTGGGCTCAAGTAATCCTCCCACCTCAGCCTCCTGAGTAGTTAGGACTACAGGCTTGCACCACCACACCTGGCTAATTTTTTTTTTTTTTTGGAAAGACGAGATCTCATCAAGTTGCCCAGGCAGGTCTTGAGCTCGAGCTATCTGCCCTCCTTGGCCTCCCAAAGTGCTGGGATTACAGGAGTGAGCCACCGTGCTGGGCTGTTTTCATTTTTTAATACAAGGTGGTTTTACATGAACTAAGAAGGAAAAGTTTTCAAGACATAATTTCCTAGAACATTTAAAATATAGTATGATTTCATTTGGGAAAAAGAAAACCTCCCAAAATTAGATGGGCAAGGCAAAGGCCCTGATGGACACACATCAAACTGATAAGGAAGTGACCTCTGGAAAGGAGTGGAATTGGGGGTGGGTGTTGTCAAACAGAAAGCCCCTAAGAGGGGCTTTCACTTTATCTGTTTGGTGTGAAAGTTTTCACAATGAGAGTGTAATGTGTTACTTGTGTAAACCAAATGAAATGAAATATGGGAAGCTTGATTGGATCACCTTTTTTTAAGCTACAAAAGTTACTTCTGGGACAACTGGGGAGGTTTGAAAATGTACTATATGTTAGATAATATTGTGGTTACATAGGATATTCTTATTTTTAGGAGTTCCTCGCTGAAATACTTAGGGGTAAAGTGTCAAGAAGTCTGCAACTTTCAAATGGGAAAGAAAAGAAGAAAGGGTAAAGGAAGGAAGATGGGAAGGAAGGATGAAAAATAGGAAGGGGGGGGAGGGATTGCATTGGGAGTTATACCTGATGTAAATGACGAGTTGATGGGTGCAGCACACCAACATGGCACAAGTATACATATGTAACAAACCTGCACGTTGTGCACATGTACCCTACAACTTAAAGTATAATAATAATAAATAAATAAAAAAAAAAAAAAAAAGAAAAATAGGAAGGGAAGGATGGAGGGAGGGAAGAGGAGCAGGATGGAGGAGGAGAGGCAATGGAAATGGATGAGGAGGCAAGAAGGGAAAGAAAAAAACAAATGTCAAGGCAAAGAAATAAAACAAGAATGTTAATCACTGGTGAATCTAAGTGAAGATATATGGGTGTTCAAGGTATTCTTCTAACTTTTTTGCAGGTTTGAAATTAAAAAAAAGAAAAACATTACTACCCCTCACCTGGCTGGAAGTGATGGATTTCCCCCTTGTACTCTTCTCACACTTGGCAGTGTCACTCATATTACTAGTGATGACCTCTGAGAATGTCTTACTTTCCATGAGCTCCTGAAAGGAGACACCTTTCAATTCTTTGCCCCGCTCTCTGCAGCGAGCATGCTGCCCAGCGCAGAGCAGGCAGTGGCAAATACCGGTAAGAAATGAGTCCATGTAGGCTGGAAGATGCAAGGCATTCACCTGCGAGGCCGGCAAATACGAAGTCAAGGCCTGGAATTGCAGTATCAGTTCTGATGAGGTGCATGACGGGCGTGTCTCCTGGCTCCTTGGCCTGGTCCCAGCAGAGAGTTACTCAGGCCTGGAGCCAGGTCTTTCTAGGGGGACTACTGAATGGAACTGTAGTCTGAAAGTGCTGTTACAAACTGCCTGAGTAGTTTTCAGATTGATACTTTGTACATTACAAAGTGATAGAAAAGTACAGTGCTCCTACAACCCTTTCTCTTTTGATTTTTACAGTGACTCTGAGAGATACGTATTACAGTATTTCCATTTGACAGATGAGGACACATGCTCAGAGAAGGAAAGTGACTACTCCAAGGTCACACACAGAGGAACTGGGCTCAATCTCATGTCTTCAAGACTAAAGATCTTTCCACTAGACCATGCTGTCTTCTTTGAGGTCTGACTCCTAACCTAATAGCAGAAAGACACACTTACCTGATTCAGTCTTTGGACTACATCTCCCCACACTGTGAGATCACCACAGGCAGCTTGGGCTTATTGTTGGGGCCTGTGGGAACATTCTAGGAAAAAAAGCACAATGGACATTCATCCACTCAGGCACTTCCTCATTCCCTTATCAAACTTTTACTGATGCCTGCCAGCCCCTGTGCTAAGGGCTCAGCACTCAGAAACAGTCCATGTCCTGGCAGACAGGTATCAAAGAGAAAATGCAAAACACTTAGAAAACATCAAACCTATGATAATATAACAAAAAGTTATGAGAGAGTTGGATAAGGGGTAGACGGGTAACTAAATTGCTGCTTAAAGAGGTCAGGGAAGGATTCACAAAAGAGGGTTATTTGAACTGTGCCTAGAAGGATGAATGGGATTCCACCAGGAGGGAAGGAAAGAAGAGCATTCCAGCTACAGGAAACAGTGTGAACAAAGGCTCAGGAGCAGGAAAGAGCAAGGGGCAGGGATGTGTATGGCAGATTTAGGGAAGAGCTAGTAGCCTGATGTGACTGGAACATGAAAGAGGCAGTGGCAGGAGAAGGGGCCATGGAGAAGTAGACAGGGACTAATCATGAAGGACCTTGAACGCAATGCTGAGGAGTAGAATTTTATCAAGTAGGCAACAGGGTCGTCAGGGGCCAAACCTCAGTGTTGACCAGACAGGCTAACTTAGGTGGTCTCTCCTCCCTTTTCCTGAAGCAATGAAGACTGGGCCTAACAAACTGGAGCTCATTCCCCCTTCTCTAGCTCCTGGACGCTAGTCAGACAGTACCAGACCAGAATGGGAGAGAAAGAGAAAAATCAAAGCAGTACTTACCTCAATCTTTCTCATCACTAGAAGTCCATCGATGATTTTTCCTGTAGGAAGAGTGTGAGCTGGACTTTATTCTTGTTTACATAGCGTTTTCCAGCTTCCAAAGCCCATTCTTAGCTATTATGTCATTAGATTCTCTTACTAACTTTAGGAAATTAAGATGCAGTAGAGGTGAAATGACTTGCTCAAGGTCACAGGTAATAAGTAGAGTTAGGGCTCACACTTATATCTGAGTGACTGCAAAGTCTCACCATATCATGCTGCCTGTATGGCATTTCTTTGGTGCTAGCTACTGGGTTTTCCCCCTGAGTGGTTCCATACTATATCAAATGGCCCTTTTGTCCTTCCCTCTAGTTCTCTAGCCAAACATGTTCCCCACCTCCCCACCATTTCTGTTTTCTCTGTTACCACCTAAGCAGTTATCCAAGTTGAGCATTCTTGGTAAGAGTCTGAGAACTAACTCCTCTGGAGGTTCCATCTGCGGTGAATGGGGCCTGGACCATGGGACATGAGTAGGACTTACCAAACACCACATGCTTCCCATCCAGCCAATCGCACTTAGAGCAGGTGATAAAGAACTGACAGCCATTTGTACTCGGACCACTGTTTGCCTGATGGAAACCAAATATACCTGCAGTAAGTTTCCTTGGCCATGTTACCTGATGGGTAAGATTCTCAAAAGAGCTTGTAACCCTAATCCCTCCATGTTTTTTTCAGTAAATCTAACTTAGCACCTATTAGGAGCCAGGGCCTAAGCTAGGATCCAAGGATACAGAGATGAACAGGATATGGCTTACTGCGGACTCAAATTCCTGGGCTCAAGCAATCCTCCCACCTCAGCCTCCCTAGTAGGTGGGACTCCAGGTGTGTGTCACCATACCTGGCTAATTTTTTTTTTCTTTTTTTAGTAGAGACTTAAGTTTCACTATGTTGCCCATACTGGTTTCAAACTCCTGACCTCAACCTCAAGCAATCCTCTTGCCTTGGCCTCCCAAAGTGCTGGGATTACAGGTGTGAGCCACTACGCCCAGCTATGAATATGTCTTGAAAGCACAGCTTTTTACATTCTGAGCAGTAGGGCTGAATGCCTAGACACAAACCCTGGTTCATATTTTAGTTCCCCAGCCTGCCAGCCTGCTAGAGGGTCTTACCTACTGGTTTTCTTTTCTTTCTTTTCTTTTTTTTAAGACGGAGTTTCGCTGTTGTTGCCCAGGCTGGAGTGCAGTGGTGCGATCTTGGCTCACTGCAATCTCCCCTTCCTGGGTTCAAGCGATTCTCCTGCCTCAGCCTCCTGAGTAGCTGGGATTACAGGCACCCACCACCACACCTGGCTAATTTTCTGTATTTTTAGTAGAGATGGGTTTCACCATGTTCGCCAGGCTGGTCTCGAACTCCTGACCTCAGGTTATCCACCCGCCTCAGCCTCCCAAAGTGCTAGGATTACAGGCGTGATACAGGCTCACACCTGTAATCCACCATGTACCTACCAGTTTTCTCAATCAATCCAGACTGAGAAAAGAGGTGGTAAAGGTGAGTCCTGGGGCAAGCAAGAGAAAGAAAGCATTTGCTTTCATCATGCCAAAACACAGCATTGGGTCTCAAGAGGGGCCCAGAAACCAGTTGGCTGTAACGCAAAACCTTGATTGGACCTCACTTACCATGGAAAGCAGGCCTGGAGCTGAGTGTCTAAGTTTAAAATTTTCATCTGCAAATGGCCCCCGGTAAATACTGGCGACTCCAGTACCATCTCCCTGAGCAGACAGAAGGGAAATATTAGTGACTTGGAGTGTTGGGTCCCTGGAAACCAGAGGAAGAACACTGTGGCACCTAAAGCCTGACATCTTTAAAGTCTGCTCTTACTTTTGTTGGTCATCTTGGAAGCTGCACCTATTTGACCCCACCCTGCCATCAGAGCAAGCCTTATACAAGGTACCTACAGCCCACAAAAACTGGCTGGAGCATTTTATAGACTGGATAAAACAGGTCACAGCTGGGCCCCTAGAAAGATCAATTAAGATGCAGACAAAGTAGGGAACAGCAACAAGGTGATCACATACTCAATCGTTGCCATTCCTGAAGACTGTCATGCCTGCAGTCATATAAAAGTACCCACTTAAGTGACTACCACCCCATTCCCCCAAACTATCTAAGAGGGTGGGTGAGCTCTTGGCAGTCTGTATGTACAACATGATACCACCCTCCTGATCATAGTTGATTGATCCAGGGGAGGATGCCTAACTCACACTGGGCCAACTAGAGTTCCTTCTCCGGGAATCTGGAGGTGGGATAGATGCTGTCTTTGAGGCTAAATTTGAATCATGTAAACCTGGAAGCTAGATGTGACTACCATTTGCAAGGTGGGCTAGAGAACAGAAAGAGAACACAACACAGATGTGTAGCAAGCACTAGAGAAACAGATAAAGAACTGCCTTGGTTCTCTATGGTTCTAGTTCCTAGTTCTATTTCTTCCTTTAGTTCCATGAAACACTCCCTTTATTATAAACTTCCAATTTCTGCTTAAACTAGCTTTATTTGCATTATCTCTTTGCTCTTCCAGCAACCTTGAGGAATAAGCATTATCACCTTCCCCATTTTTTGTGTGAGGAAACTAAAGTCTGGGTAATAACACAATTTGACCAAGGCCATATTTGCAGTGCCTTAAATAGAATCCCTGAGTTTTAAAGGCAATATTGAGGACTGCCAAAAAGATCAAGCTCTCCTCGCCAGTTAGTAAAGAGAAAGAGTGCATGGGAGAAAGGGAAAACACTGACCTGGTGTAGAATCAACAGTGAGTGAAGAGAAAGGGTGCATGGGAGAAAGGGAAAACACTGACCTGGTGTAGAATCAAGGGTCCCTTTTTGGGACAAGGACTATCATTAATATAAGCCAGCGAATACAGAAAAACTGTCCAAATTCAAACCTTTATTTGGCTAAATATTAGCAAATAAAATCAAGTCTGTATATTAGAAAGGCCTGGCCTGGCGCGGTGGCTCACACCTATAATCCCATCACTTTGGGAGGCTGAGATGGGTGGATCACCTGAGGTCAGGAGTTTGAGACCAGCCTGGCCAACATGGTGAGACCCTATCTCTATTAAAAATACGAAAATTAGTCATGTGCGGTGGCGGCGCCTGCAATCCCAGCTACTCGGGAGGCGGAGGCACGAGAATCACTCAAACCCACCCGGGAGGTGGAGGTTACAGTGAGCCAAGATTGAACCACTGCACTCCAGCCTGGGCGACAGAGCGAGACTCCATCTCAAAAAAAAAAAAAAAAAAAAAAAGGCCTGGATTTGGGTTCCTGATCTATCACTTAGAGCTGGGAAAGTCACTTCCTATCTGTGAGCCTCAATTTCCTCATCTATCAAGTGAGGGGGAAATTACCTACTCTTTACAGTTACCATGAAGATTCAATTAGATAGTGTCTGTAAAAAGCACTTTGCAAACAATACAGCACTATATAAATAATCAAATAAGCTATTATGTCATTAACTAACTCCACATACTTATTAATACAGAAGGAAGAGAGAAAACAAGTTCATCTCCAATTTCCCAGTGAACCTCAGGGACACATCAGTTACTACCATTCTCCGTAATCACGTTATCTATACTTCTCCAGAAACAATAGGCTAAATTACAAAATTAATAATTTGGAGCAAACAATAGAAAACAACCAATCTTCCAACTATAGTGAATTGATCAAATAACTTGTCATTCATAATGAAATATTAGGTGGCTATTAGAAAGTATGTTTTAGAAGACATAATGACAAGGGAAAGTATGGACAATTATTAAGTACAAAAAAAGTAAAACATACAGATTATTTTAAGTCTGTTAAAAATTATATAAACACACATATACATACTAAGGTAAGGCTGACAACTGTAAACCAAAATGCCAATAGTATATTGTGAGGTGAGATTGAGGGTGATTCATCTGGTGATTTATTTTCTTCTTTGCACTTTTCTTTTACAAACAAAATAATAAATACTATTAAAACCAAAAATAAATGAACAAAACAAATATTCTTGGTCCAACTTTGGAAGGTCTCAAATTCTGATTTTTCTGGCGCTTGCTCATTCCATTTTGCCTTCCCCAAGGAAGGTTCTAAGCAAGCTTTTTTTTTTTTTTTCCTTTAGACAAGGTCTCACTCTGTCCTCCAGGCTGGAGTGCAGTGGCATGAACATGGCTCACTGCAGCCTTGAATTGACCTGGGCTCAAGGGATCCTCCTACCTCAGCCTCCCAAGTACCTGGGACTACAGGCGCACACCACCAAAAATAAGAAAATCAAAAATAATTTTTTTATTTTTGTAGAGACAGGGTCTTACTATGTTGCCAGGCTGGTCTCAAACTCCTGGGATCAAGCAATCCTCCCAGCATCCCAAAGTACTGGGATTACAGATGTGAGCCCTGCCACCAATTGCTTTTAACTCACCCTTCAGAATGAGCAACTATTGTCTAACCCCAGAGTTATCAACAAGTGATCAGATGTGCCTGGGGCAAAGACTAGTAAAAAGCTATTCCTCTCCTTGGGCAACAGGGGAGCCTAGGGGAAAAGAAAGGAAAGAAGGCAGAGAGGATAGCTTCTCCGCCCTTCTTACCAGCTAACAAACCCCACTACCATTATTTGTTTCCAGGGGTTGCAAACAAATGCCTACAGGAGCAGGCAACCTAAATAAGGGAAACAGTTGTGGAGACTGGTGAAATGGCAAAGATATGCCATGTCCAGAGGGACCAGTTCCTTTATTCCAACCAATTGTCACTGTCACTGCCACTGTGAGAAATGCAGGCCCAGCGTACTTCCACTTTCCATTTTTTAAAGAGAAAACAAAACTAGGATTTTTTTTTGTGCCATTTCACAGTTATACAACACCATGCAGATGAAACAAAACATAGGTAAAAGCATAAATCAGCCTAAAACCTGCCACTCTGCAACCCTATATTGCATAGGAAAGGAAAGAGGTCTTAAAAACTCATGAGAGCTGGACTAAATAAACATATAAAAGAGAACAAATGTCTCCCAGATCCAAGAAAATAGCAACACAACTAACCAAATGATATTAATAAGAGTAAAGAAAGACCATACACAGAAGTGGGTAGGTAAGGACGAAAGCAGGTTTAAGAAAGAAAAACTGTAGTTTATCCCACACCCTCCAAGGTTGGGGTGGGGTGGGAGGCTTCATATGGGGGACAAAAACAGTCTATTTACAAGAAAGTTATGGTTAGCAAAAAAGAACTATTTCACTGGGCCCTCCCAGTGCATAGAGCAAAATTCCTCCAGAACTATCTATCTATCTCGCTGTGATTCCTTGCCCACAAATCAACTTCTTATGAAAAACTCAGCTTTCCAGGCACTGTGACACCAGAAGTAAAAGAGAAAATGAGACAGGCATTTAGTCCACTAGAAGGAGATTTACCTCCATTCAGAAAAAAACAAAAACAAAAACAAACCACAGCTGATTTCTGACTAAGTTTCATATGACTAATTAGTGTGAACCTATCATAGATCATCTACAGGGTATTCTTAAAAAGTCCAATTTCTGGCTCAAAAAGGCTGAGATTTGGACCATGGAAGTTAATGCCTCAATCAAAGTGCTAAAGTCTGTTATCTACAGTCAGTTGTACCTAGCCACTTTCAAGAACTTCCCCATCACCATTCTCTCCAACACCCCCATCAAACCTGGCTATTGTTCTCAAGACTTAAGACTGGGTCTCTGTAGTAAAAACAGCAATTGCAACAATAATAAAAACTAAAACTACAGGTCTTTGATAGAAAAGGAATAGTACTTACATTAACAAAATCTCCACCCTGAATCATGAAATCCTTTATGACCCTGAAACAGAGAGCAAAGAATACTGAGAGAAGATTTTATGGAGACTTTGTTATTATTGTATTAGATTAACATTGATTTCAAAATACACTATCACTTTGGCTATTATAAAATCACCATTCTTAGCTGGGTGCGGTGACTCACGCCTGTAATCCCAGCAGTTTGGGAGGCCGAGGCAGGCAGATCACATGAGGACAGGAGTTTGAGGCCAGCCTGGCCAACATGGCAAAACCCCATCTCTACTAAAAATACAAAAATTAGCCAGGCGTGGTGGCACATGCCTGTATTCCCGGCTACTTGGGAGGCTGAGACAAAAGAATTGCTTGAACCCAGAAGGCGGACGTTGCAGTGAGCCAAGATCATGCCACTGCACTCTAGCCCGGGTGACAGAGCGGGACTCTGTCTCAAAAAAAACCCAAAAAACAAAACAACAAAAAAAGATTATTCTTTTCCTGGAATGGTTAAGCTGAAAGGATAATTAACCATAAAAATGGATTTTAATTATAAATTAGGGCATGTTAGAGTTGATCAAGTGCATGATCTGGTACCTGAACAGTAACAAGAAGGGGCTGAAAGCCTGCAGGAAGAATGACCACATTACTTGCCAAAGCAAAAGGCAGATCAAGGATTTGATGTAAATTTGGGGGAAAGAACTACAGAGAATTTATGTGAAAGGTACTGCTACACATGTAAGGACTTAACAATTGTTAGCTATTACCCCTAGGGAGGGTCCTTAACCTTTCTTATCCTCAGTTTCCTCCTCTGTAGAATGCAGATCACACATACCACTTCACAGGAGTCTTACTGGGGATTAGAGACTCACAGCTCTAAAGCTGTGATATAATTATGTGCTAACATTGTTACTAACCACAGTGAGGCCATGGGAAAGATTCTATATTGAAATGAGACTAAGTGTTGCCATACTCCACTCCCCAGGAAATATGATTATCCTTGGACAATCATATATGATCATTTTAGGAATTAGTTATAAATAGCAACCAGCAGGATATATTATATGCACTTTAGGATTACAAGTGTACTTCTTTAAAAATCTGCATTTGCACAAACAAGTGCATGAAAAAGACAGGATATTGTAAAGATGAGTAGTTTCTGTTTTAAAGACATAAGAAGTGGGGGAGTATAAGTAGAGTTAGAATATTTAATAAATCTTCAGTTATTGAGTCCACAAAAACATTTCTTCTCAAGAAATGTAAGAATTACCTCTGGTTTTATTTTCCTCTAAAGAGGCTAATCCCCCAGGAAATATTTCTGAAAGACTCTAGGATGGCTTGCCAAAAGCCTTACCTGTGGAAAGTGCTTCCTTTGTATCCTATTGGAACCCCATCTTTTCTATAACAAAAAGAAAGAGACTTGGAGTGATAGCAGGTAGCACAAGGCCTTTCCAGTTTACCATGCACTGGAGCCAAAAGGACTCTCCTAAAGATGGTTGACAGACATAAAGAAGGCAAATAAACTAGGGACAGACCCTTGGGGCATTACCTTCTATCACTGTCACCAGCAATCATTCAAGGCCAGCAGGTGGTTCACCGATACCCTCACCGCAGCCCCAGAACACCCCTCTGGAGCAGGCAAAGAAGTCAAACACATCTGAAACTGACCTGAATTCTCCGGTGCAGAACTGCCTGAAAGGGACAAAAAGTGAACGATTCAATCACTATGACATCACAGTCGTGACCGCCTCTAAAGACGGGAAAGAATAAACAATGGAGCCAGCAAGTCCACCAATCGGCCAGCCAGACGTCCAAACACGGAGACATACAGACTAACAACGTAAATTAACACGGGAACACAATCCAAACGGCAACCAGACAGAGCAATGCACGGAGGAATCAGGTCTCAAGAGCAGTGAGCGGACGGACAGAGGTAGACAGGCTATTCAGGCGGCTGACTAGAGCCCGACTTCTGCCTCAGCTAATCCAGCGGAACTGGAGCACGTCCTTACCTAAAGTTCTCGGCCGTCTTAGGCACAACGTCTGCAAAGAGCTCGATCTTCATGCGACCAACTTCCTGCAATCAGCGGGAGACTGTCAGAAGGCCCAGTCCAAGACCATGAGGGCTTCACGGAGCTGGGGGCAGGATGGGCTGACCCACCACCCTGCCGCTCGGTATCACCCACCTCCGCCTCCCTGGTCTAACCGCCCAGTTCCTCCAGAAGCGGGGCGCTAGGATTGGGGAGACTTCTCCTCCTCATTTCTCCCCGCCCTGCAGGTCGGTAGGTTCGGGTGCAATTTCGCTTTCTGGCTGGCTTCCCGAGTCCGCGCTCTCTGGGTGAGTTCTGCCTGCCTAGCTAGCCTCGAGCAGTTTCCCTTCGGCGCAGGTGTGGGTAGCGTCCTAGATCTCACCTGACCGCCAATGCTGACATCAAAGAACACCACGGGGTTAACAGGACTTGAATTTGCCACCGCCATGGCTCCGACCCGGAAGCAGAAGTCGGGAGCGTGGGATTCCGGCGAACCTAAAGCCCTGTCCGCGGGTTTCGTCCGGGGAGCAGGCGCGGTGGACGCCGAGAGAGACCGGGCCCCGCCCCCGGAAGCTGTCGCCCCGTGCGGTGTGTGCTGAGGCTGCTGGGGTCTAGCTGGGAGACTCTCCCTGAGACGGGGGACGCGGGAGTGAGGAGGAGGAAAGCCTGGACATCTTTTTGGTTAAGATCGATGGTCACCCCACTCACGTGGCTGTACTAAGGGCAGTACAAGTTGATCTTGCTCTAGCTAGGGCTTTTGGACTAGGCAGTCGCCAGGGTCCTCCTTATCGGCTCTTGCAACCAAGCCCTCTACACCGCCACACGTGCTGTGTCTGTCTTCTGCCCGCTAGTCTGTGAACACCGTGAAGGCAGGAACTCTGGTTTGTTCATCCTCAGCGTTTAGAACAGCTTGGCACGTAAAGGCTTGCTAAGTAAATATTTGTCCCTTCCTCTAAGTCAGGACAATAGATTATGTTTCCGTTCTGCCACAAGCTCCCAGTTTGGTCATTTCCAATTCGTTTCCCACAGAGTAACTAGAGTTTTTTATTTTTTATTTTTAAAATACCTCTTGTGATTCCTATTTATTTTTAAAATAACTCCTGGCTTCCTATATTTAGAATAAAATCCAATTCTGTACATAGGAAGCCCTCCAGTGCATTTATCTGGCTATCACCTACCTGACCTCATCTTGAACCACTTGCCCTTAGTTACTGTGCTCTGACCTGTCTGTTCCTCCAGGTCACTGAGATCCCTCCTTTCTTTAAGGCCTTGGAATAGCTGTTTCTTCTGTCTGAAATATTCCTTCCAGATCTTAATGTGCGTTGGCGGGGGGGGATGGTGGGGTTTGGTTGGGGTATGTGTGTGGGAAGTAATGCTCCTTGTAGTTCAGGGCTCACCCCAGATGTTACCTCCTCAGAGGCAACATTAGACCTAATCTAAAGTAGCCCTTGGTCACTCAGATCACTGGTTTTTCTTCATGCCACCCCCCATTTCACATTTGTATGGTATGTGTCTGCACCTCATTTCCTGCCCCACACACGTACATCTTCCTCCCTAATAGCATATAAACTCCATGAAAGTAGAGGCTCTCCCAGTCCTGTTCGCAGCTGTAGCTGCAATGTCTCCTACTGAATAGCACATAGTAGGTAAATATAATAGATTCAATGAATTTAGTGAAAGAAGGGGAACTTGGGCAAGACTCATTAGCTATAACAGCATGCATTTAATATAATAGTTATTTCCTAGGTCCTTTGATCATCTTTTCTAGCTCTGTCGTCGGAGAAAGCAAGAATTACATGTAAAAATCCAGTGTGTCTCAATTTAAAGGGTCATTTTTATTCCTGGTTACTGATCCTCTCCTCTTGGTCTCCTCCAAATGAAAAAGAAGAAAGGGGAAGAGGGAGAAAAGGAACAGCAGCAGTCATGCTTCAGTATAATTTTATACCAACTGTTTTAGAATAAATATTTAAAATTGATAATACCCAATGTTGATGAGGTTGTGAAAAAAATAGTACATTGATAAACTGCTAGTGAAAATAAATGATGATAGCTAGCATTTATTAAGCAGTTACTAAGTGCTAAATACTTTACATACTTCATTTCATTTGGTCCTCACAACCCTATGGGATAGATAACTATTATTGTTCCCATTTTATGAATCAAGAAATTGAGGCTCAAGGAGGTTGAGTAACTTGACTATGAAAACAGTATGTTGACACACTTTTATTTATGTTATTATTTATTTATTATTATTATTAATTTTTTTTGAGACAGAGTCTCACTTTTTGCCCAGGCTGGAGTACAGTGGAGTGGTCTCAGCTCACTGCAACTTCCACCTCTCGGATTCAGGCGATTCTCATGTCTCAGCCTCCTGCATAGCAGGGACTACAGGTATGCACCACCACACGCGGCTAATTTTTGTATTTTTAGTAGAGACAGGGTTTTGCCATGTTGGCCTCGCTGGTCTTGAACTCCTGGCCTCAAGTGATCCGCCCACCTCGGCCTCCTAAAATGCTGGGATTACCGGTGTGAGCCACTGCAACTGGCCAGGCAGAACCCTTTTTTAAAGCAAGGAAGTGATGTCCTAGAGCAATATTAACATTTATATCCTTTGACTCAGTCCAATAGTGCGAATTTGTTTTCTGGAATAATTCAAAAGAAGAACTATATGCATAAAGACCTTCAACACAGCATAATCTTAATTAGCAAAAAAGTAAAACCATAGACGCTCATGCCTATAATCCTATCACCTTAGGAGGCTGAGGTGGGAGAATCACTTGAGCCCAGAAATTTGAGACCAGCTTGAGCAACAGAGTGAGACCTTGTCTTTACAAAAAGTTCAAAAATGAGCCAGGCATGGTAGCATGTGCCTGTACTTGGGAGAGGCTGAGGAGGGAGGATCACTTAAGCATGGGAGGTTGAGGCTGCTCAGTCACACCACTGCACTCCAGCCTGGGTGAGAGAGTGAGACCCTGTCTCAAAAAAAAAAAAAAAAAAAAAAAGTAAAAACAACATAAATGCCAAACAAGACAACATGAGAACATGTAATTTACAGAACATCCACATCCTCAGAGATACTGAGCAGTGCTGTCCCACCCTGACTGGTGACCTGAATGTGAGTGTGGCTGATCTTTTCTGAAGAAGCAGTCCTACTACACTAAAGATGAGTTGGAGACTGTTCACCTACTTTGTACTCCTGTTTGGAAATATTTAGGGGTAGTTTCTATGTAATGGGGTTTATGTGAACTCTCTTCTCATACTCCCTCCTCCAGGAAAAGCTCTTGGTATTTTCCTATCCACTTTTATTGTATTTTGTTATTATTTTTTTGAGATGAATTCTTGTTCTGTCACCCAGGCTGGAGTGCAGTGGTGCAATCTCCGCTCACTGCAACCTCTGCCTCTCAGGTTCAAGCGATTCTCCTGCCTCAGCCTCCCAAGTAGCTGGGACTAGAAGCACACGTACCACCACATCTGGCTAATTGTTTTTGTAGTTTTGTTAGAGATGGGGTTTCCCCATGTTGGCCAAGCTGGTCTCGAACTCCTGACCTCAGGTGATCTGCCCACCTTGGCATCCCAAAGTGCTGGGATTACAGGTGTGAGCCACTGTGCCCAACCTCCTGTCCACTTTTAAATAATGTATTGCTCTAAATCTTCTTCATTAAACATTTAAAACTTTTCCCATAAAAATAATTATAGAACATCAACATGATTGAATATCATACGGCTATTGAAAATGTTTCCATGGTATATACAGTAAATTAAAAATCAAACTGTGAAAATGAATATACAATATTATAATAATAACAATTTAGAATATATGCACTTGAATTAGGACCAAAAGGGAATAATTGTAAAATAAAAAAGATTGTGGTATTGGTGTAATCCCAGCACTTCGGGAGGCCAAGGCAGGTAGATCACCTGAGTTCAGGAGTTCGAGACCAGCCTGGCCAACATGGTGAAACCTCGTCTCTACTAAAAATACAAAAATTAGCTGGGCATGGTGGCGGGTGCCTATAATCCCAGCTACTTGGGAGGCTGAGGCAGGAGAATTGGTTAAACCCGGGAGGCGGAGGTTGCAGTGAGTGGAGATCATGCCACTGCACTTCAGCCTGGGTGACAGAGTGAGACTCTGTCTCAAAAAAAAAAAAAAAAAAAAAAAAGCTTGTGGTATTATAGGAGGGTTTTTGTTTTTGTTTTTGTTTTTGTTTTTGTTTGAGATGGAGTCTTGCTCTGTTTCCCAGGCTGGAGTGCGATGGTGCTATCTCAGCTCACTGCAAGCTCTGCCTCCCAGGTTCACCCAGTCTCCTGCCTCAGCCTCCCGAGTAGCTGGGACTACAGGCACCCACCACCACGCCTGGCTAATTTTTTTGTATTTTTAGTACAGACGGGGTTTCGCTGTGTTAACCAGAATGGTCTCAATCTCCTGACCTCGTGATCCGCCTGCCTTGGCCTCCCAAAGTGCTGGGATTACAGGTGTAAACCACTGCGCCCATCCTAGAAAAAAACAAAATTTGCTTTAATGTGACTGTATTGTTTTTACTCTTAAAAAATAAATCATAAAAGAAACCCACGATAATAGGAAAGAATGCTTAATTAACCATATATGTGCTCTGTTGAAGAGAAACCTAAATAAATCATTGAACTAAAGTAAATATTTTGGCCAATACAAGGTATCTGAGGATATCAAACAAACTTGAGAAATCCATTTTTAGAATTGCTTTAATGAATTTATCAGCAATTTTGAAGACTCTTGGCTGATATCCATTTGGGATCTGTGGTAACTCTTCTCAATGTCATGGTCTACCTTTTGTCCAGGCTTTAAGTTAGCAGTTTTGTTCAGTATAGCTTTAGGCACCAGTGATTTTATAGTTCTGACTTTTGGTCTTGTTCTTGTATACCGTGTGTCTCTTTCAGAGAAGTCACATTTATGTATCCAGCCTCAGAATTCTGTGAACACACAAGATTCTCAGGGGACTTTTCAGGGGACTTTGAACTTGCCATTGCTTCTTTTGACTTAATGTCGTCAGTCTCTTGAAGACTTACAAATGACTCTACCAAACCTTTTCCTGAAAAACTAAGAAAGGCCATATGTGAGGACATCATGTAGACAGAGTTTCTTGGTAGCAGTTTGGGGTTACAGGGATATAGGCATTAATAGAATTTCAATTTTTTGCAACTCTTACACAAAGAAAGCCAAATAAAATTTACCTTAAACCTATGTTCATATTTTATTTCCTACCTTAAGTCAGGATTCTGTGGGGTTTAGGGGTGAAGGAGTGGCAAGGGGAGGAATTGGAAGAAGACTCAAATAATTCATGTAGAGAAAATGACCCCAGAATGCTATGCCTTCTCAAGCCAGCAATCCAGGACTAGTTAGGCAGCCATGACTCTCAGGCATGGCTGAGAGTCCATCTCAGATAGACTTGACTTTACTTGTCTTAATTTTACTAACCTGGAGTTTGATAAAGGCAATATTTCATTCACTACTTCAGATTCAAGGATGTCACTAATTGTTGTTTCCTAAAAGGAAAGAAAGGATGAATGTGAAAAGTTATAGTGATAAATCATTAGCTATATGATCCCAGAAAAAATATGTATATAATAGATATAATACCTCCACATAGTACAAACAATGAAAAACATAAAAGGGTATAGAATGAAAATCTGGTTGCCCTCTCACTCTCTCTCTCTATAATCTATCTATATCTATTTATAGACAATCTATCTGTATCTGTCTATCTAGTTTTACACATGTGGTACTAGACATACTATCTTCACCTTGCTTCTTTCTTTTGTTACATATATTTTGGAGATATTGCAGAAAATTTATTTTTAAAATAACCGCTTTGTTGAGAAGTAACTCACATACTATAAAGTTTTCCCTTTTAGTGGGTTCAATTCAGTGCTTTCTAATGTACTCACACAGTTATGCAACCATCACCACTATCTAATTCCAGAACATTTTCATCAGCCCCCAAAAAAGCCCATACCCGGGAGCAGTCTACTCCCCATTTAGTCCTCCCCCAATCCTTGGCATCACTAATATGCTTTCTGTCTTTATGGATTTCCTTATTCTGGATGTTTCATATAAATGGAATCATGTGGCCTTTTATGTCTGCCTTCTTTAAAATATTACCCTGTTTTCAAGGTTCATTATATTATAGTAAATATTAATACTTTATGTCTTTTATGGCTGAATAATATTCCAATGTTTGGATAAAACACATTTTGTTTGTCCATTCATCAGGTGATGGAGAGTGGGTTGTTTTCACTTTTTAGTTATTATGAATAATGCTGCTATGAATATTTATGTACAAGTTTCTGGTAGGACATATATTTTTATTTCTCTTGGATATTGTGATGGTCAGAAAGTTTTTTAAAATTTATATTTATGCTATTGAATATTGACAAATTATAAGTGCATATACTTATGGGTACAAAGTGATGCTATGATATATGATATGAAATGATTGAATTGAGGTAACTAACATATCCATCACCTCAAATACTTATTCTTCCTGTCTAACTGAAACATTGCACCTTTGGCCATTGCCTCCCTACCCCTCAGTCTCTGGTAACCAGCATTTTGCTCTATGCTTACATGTGTTCAATTGTTTTAGATTCCACATTTAAGTGAGAAGATGTAGTATTTGTTTTTCTGTGCCAGGCTTTTTTTCACTTAGCGTAATGTCCTCCAGGTTCACCAATGTTGTTGCAAATGACAGAATTTCCCTCCTTTTTAAGGCTAAATAGTATTCTATTGTGTATATATACCACATTTTCACACACCATGGTGTCTATCACATCCTGACTTCAAATCCTTTGGATGTATATCCAGAAGTAAGATTGCTGGATCATATGGTAGTTCTATTTTCACTTTGTTGGGGAAACTCCACACAGTTTTCCATAATTGCTGTACTAATTTATATTCCAAACAACAGTGTACAAGGTTTCCCTTTTCTCCACAACCTTGCCAACACATTATCTTTCATATTTTTGGTTTGTTGAGATAGAGTGTTGCTCTGTCACCAAGGCTGGAGTGCAGTAATGTGAACATAGCTCATTGCAGCCTTGACCTCCTGGGCTTAAGGAATCCTCCCACCTCAGCCTCCTGAGAAGCTACAACCACAGATGCACACCCAACTAATTAAAACAAAAAAAATTTTTTTTGTACATACAGGGTCTTGCTGTGTTGTCCAGGCTGATCTAGAACTCCTGATCTCAAGCAATCTTCCCACCTCAGCCTCCCAAACTGCTGGGATTACAGGTTTGGGCTACCCTTATCTTTCTCATCTTTTTGATAATAGTCATTTTGACAGGTGTGAGGTGATAAATCATTGTGGTTTTAATGTGCATTTCCATAATGATTCATGATGTTGAGCTTTTTTTTTTTTCATATATCTGTTGTCCATTTGTATGTCTTCTTTTGAGAAATGTCTATTCAGGCCCTTTGCCCACTTTTTAATTGGGTTATGTTCTTGCTATTGAGTTGAGATCCTTATATATTTTGGATAGTAATCCCTTATCAGATGTGTAGCTTACAGATATTTTCTCCCAATCCATAGGTTGCCTCTTCACTCTGTTGTTTCTTTTGCTGTGCAGAAGCTTTTTAGTTTGATGTAATCCCATCCCATTTGTATATGTTTGTTTTTGTTCCCTGAAATTTTTGTGTCAAATTGAAAAAATTGTCGTCCAGATCAACATCATGTAGTTTTTCGCTATGTGGTGTTCTTATAGTAGTTTTACAATTTCAGGTCTTGTCTTTAAGTCTTTAATCCATTTGGAGTTGATTTTTTAATGTGGTGTTAGGTAAGGGTCCACTTTCATTCTTCTTGCACGTGGATATCCAATTTTCTCAATACTGTTTTGTTGAAGGGACTGTCCTTTTCTCAATGTCATTCTCATCCTTTGTCAAAACATCAACTGACTGTAGGCCAGGGGTGGTGTCTGACACCTAAATCCCAGCATTTTGGGAGGCCAAGGCAGAAGCATTGCTTAAGCCCAGGAGTTTGAGACCAGCCTGGGCAACATGACAAGACCCCATTGCTACAAAAAATTTAAAAAATTAGCTGAGTGTGATGGTGTGCACCTATGGTTCCAGCTACTTGGAAGACTGAGGTGGGAGGATTGCTTGAGCCCAGGAAGTTGAGGCTGCAGTGAGCTATGATTGCACCACTGCACTCCAGACTGGGCAACAGAAAAAGAAAAATCAATGTGCTGTAAATGTGTGGGTTTGTTTTTAGGCTCTCTATGTGGTTCCATTTGGTCTGTGTGTCTCTTTTAATGCCAGTCCCATGTTGTTTTAATTACTATAGTTCTGTTATATATATATATATTTAGACAGGATCTTGTTCTGTTACCCAGGCTGGAGTGCAGTGGCACAATCATGGCTTACTGCAACCTCTACTACCTGGCTTCAAGCAATCCTCTTGCCTCAGCCTGCCAAGTAGCTGAGATTACTATGCCCGGCTAATTTTTTACTTTCTTGTAGAGATGGGGTTTTGCCATGCTGGTCTTGAACTCCTGGGCACAAGCTGGTCTCAAACTCCTGGGCTCAAGCAATCTGCCTGCCTCAGCCTCCCAAAGTGCTGGGATTACAAGTATAAGCCACTGTACCCAACCTGTAATATAGTTTGAAATCAGGTAGTATGAGGCCTCTAGCTTTGTTCTTTCTGCTGAATATTGCCTTGGCTATTTGCGAATTTTATAGTTCCACATGAATATTAGGACTGTTTTTTCTATTTCTATGAAAAATGACATTGGAATTTTGATAGGTATTGCACTGAACCTATAGGTTGCTTTGGGTGGTATGGGCATTTTAGCAATATTAATTCTTTCAATTCATGAACACTAATATCTTTTCATTTATTGTGTTTTCTTCAATTTATTTCATCAAAGTTTTGTAGTTTTAAGTATACGGATCTTTCACCTCTTTGGTTAAATTTATTCCTAAGTAGTTTATTTCTTTTGTAGTTACTGTAAATTGTATTATTTTCTTTTTTTTTTTTTTTTTTTTTTTTTTTTTTTTGTGAGACGGAGTCTCGCTTTGTCGCCCAGACTGGAGTGCAGTGGCCGGATCTCAGCTCACTGCAAGCTCCGCCTCCCGGGTTCACGCCATTCTCCTGCCTCAGCCTCCCGAGTAGCTAGGACTACAGACGCCCGCCACCTCGCCCGGCTAGGTTTTTGTATTTTTTAGTAGAGACGGGGTTTCACCGTGTTAGCCAGGATGGTCTCGATCTCCTGACCTTGTAATCCGCCCGTCTCGGCCTCCCAAAGTGCTGGGATTACAGGCTTGAGCCACCGCGCCCGGCCAATTTTATTATTTTCTTGATTTCATTTTTGGATAATGTGTTGTTGGTGTATAGAAGCACTACTGATTTTGGTGTGTTGATTTTGTATCCTGCAACTTTACTGTATTTGCTTCTGAGTTCTAACAGTTTTTAGGGATTTCTATATATAAGATCATGTTGTCAACAAATAGACACAATTTCGCTGTTTCCTTTCCTATTTGGATGCCTTTTATTTCTTTCTCTTGCCTAATTGCTCTGGCAAAGATTTCCAGTACATATGAAATAGAAGTGATAAGTGTGGGCATCCTTGTCTTGTTCCTGATCTTTGAGAAAAAGCTTCCAACTTTTCACCATTGAGTATAATGTTAGCTGTGGGCTTGTCATACATGGCCTTTATTGTATTGAGGTATATTTCTTCTAAACCTAATCTTTTGAGGTTTTTATCATGAAAGGATTTGAATTTTGTCAAATGCTTTTTCTGTATGTAATAAGATGATCATATGGTTTTTGTCCTTTATTATATTAATGTGGGGTATCATGTTTATTGATTTGCATATGTTGAGCCATCCTTATATTCCTGGGCCAAATCTCACTTGATCATGGTGAATGATCTTTTTATATTCTTGCCTGGTTTTGGCATCTGAGTAATGCTGGCCTCATTTAATGAGTTTGTTAGTATTCCCTCCTCTTTATTTTTTTTGAAGAGTTTGAATAAGATTGGTATTCATTCTTTAAATATTTGGTGGACTTCAGGAGTGAATCCAGTAGGTTCTGATCTCTTCTTTGATGGGAGACTTTTTATTATGGCTTTGATCTCATGATTCATTATTGGTTTGTTGAGGTTTTCTATTTCTTCATGGTTCAATCTTGGTAGGTTGTATGTTTCTAGAAATTTATCCATTTCTTCTAGGTTTTCCTATTTGTTGGCATATAGTTATTCATAATAGTCTCTAATGATTCTTTGTATTTCTGAGATCTCAGTTGTTGTTCTCCTTTTTCATTTCTGATTTATTTATTTGGGTCTTCTCTCTTTTTTTTCTTAGTTAGTCTAGCTAAAGATGTGTTGATTTTATCTTAAAAAAAAAAAACCCAACTTTTTGTTTCATTGATTTTATGTATTGTTCTTTTAATCTCAATTTCATTTATTTCTGCTCTAATCTTTTTGTTTGTTTGTTTTGTTTTGAGACAGTCTTGCTCTGTCACCCAGGCTGGAGTGCAGTGGTGTGATCTCGGCTCACTGCAAACTCCACCTCCCAAGTTCAAGTGATTCTGCTGCCTCAGCCTCCCGAGTAGCTAGGATTACAGGTGCGTGCCACCACATCCAGCTAATTCTTTTGTATTTTTAGTAGAGATGGGATTTCACTGTGTTGGCCAGAATGGTCTCAATATCCTGGCCTCGTGATCTGCCTACCTTGGCCTCCCAAAGTGCTGGGACTACAGGTGTGAGCCACTGCGCCCAGCCTGCTCTAATGTTTATTATTGCTTTCCTTGTATCAATTTTGGGTTTGGTTTGTTTTTGCTTTTCTCATTTCTTGAGGTGCATCTTTAGGTTGTTTATTTGAAGTCTTTCCACTTTTTCGATATAGGTGTTTATTATTATAAACTTCCCTCTTAAGGTCAGGCATGATGGCTCAGGCCTGTAATCCCAGCACTTTGGGAGGCTGAGGCGGGCGGATCACCTGAGGTCGGGAGTTTGAGACCAGCCTGACCAACATGGAGAAACCCTGTCTCTACTAAAAATACAAAATTAGCCGGGCATGGTGGTGCATGCCTGTAATCCCAGCTACTCGGGAGGCTGAGGCAGGAGAATCACTTGAACCCAGGAGGCGGAGGTTGCAGTGAGCTGAGATCGCACCATTGCACTCCAACCTGGGCAACAAGAGTGAAACTCCGTCTAAAAACAAACAAACAAACAAACAACAACAAAAAACTTCCCTCTTAATATGACTTTTATCATATCCCATAGATTTTGTATTCCCATTTCCATTTGTTTCAAGATATTTTAAATTTTCCATCTTAATTTCTCTTTTTTTTTGAGACGGAGTCTTGCTCTGTCGCCCAGGCTGGAGTGCCATCTTAATTTCTTAATTAACCCATTGGTCATTTGAGAGTATGTTGTTTTATTTCCATGTGCTCGTGTAGTTTCCAAGGTTTTTCCTGTTATTGTTTTCTAGTTTCATTTCACTGTGTTCAAAGAAGATACTTGACACAATTTCTATTTTTTAAATTCGTACTTGTTTTGTGGTCTAAGATATGGTCTATTCTGAAAAATGTTCTATGTGCTGATGAAAAGAATGTGTATTCTGCAGCAGTGGGTATGTTCCATAAGTGTCAGTTAGACCTAGTAGGTCTAGTGTGTAGTTTAACTCCACTGTTTGTTGATTTACTGTTAGGATGATCTGTCCATTATGGAGAGTTGGGTGTTAAAGTCCCCACTAATACTGTATTGCAGTCCATCTCTCACTTTAGATCTATTAATGTTAGCCTTATATATTTGGGAGTTCTGGTGTTGGATGCATAGATATTTATAATTGTTATATTCACTTGCTGAATTGGCCCTTTTATCATTATATAGGTTTTTAGTCTTTGACTTGTAGTCTATTTTATCTGATATGACTATAGCTATTCCTGCTCTTCTTTGGTTTCCAGTTGCATGGAATATCTTTTTCCACTCCTTTTCATTCTCTGTGTCTTTATAGGTGAGATGGGTTTCTTGAGGGCAGCATATAGTTGGGTTTTATTTCTTTATCCATTCAGCTACTTGGTGAATTTTATTTTTTTGTATTGATTTTATTTATTTATTTTTTTGAGATGGAGTCTCCCTCTTTCACCCAGGCTGGAGTGCAGTGGCTCAGTCTTGGCTCACTACAACCTCTGCCTCCCAGGTTCAAGTGATTCTCCTGCCTCAGCCTCCTGAGTAACTGGGATTACAGGCACATACCACCACGCCCAGCTAATTTTTTTGTATTTTTAGTAGAGACAGGGTTTCACCAGGCTAGTCTCAAACTCCTGACCTCAGGTGATCCACCCGCTTCAGCCTTCCAAAGTGGATTACAGGCATGAACCATCGCACCCAGCCAAATCTTTAATGCTAGATCCCTGCCTCCTTTTTGGCTCTAGGTGGCACCTTAAGCTCAGGTTCACCTTGGCTCTAGTAAATGGTCAGAGCACTGCCTGTCCCAAATAGGGGAGATCCCAAACGGATTATCCTGGCAGTGAGGGAAGGCTGTCTAGGGGTTCATGCCCAGGAGACCTGGGGGACATAGCTCCTACAGCCACTCTTATGTCTTCTTTGGCTGAGTTACAGAGCAGAGTCCCACCTCCTCTGTTTCAGGGATATTTCAGGGATATGTCTGTCTTCAGGGGTATTTCTGCGTTCAGGAAGTTGTGATACTACCCGCGGGTTAAGACAAGGACTGGTTTCTGGCTAGGAAACCCAAGAAAGTGGGGAATCTGACTACTTCAGTTTTACTTTTTCCAGCGTAGAAACCGTAAGTTGAGAGATTTTCCAAAACAGTGGGTGCCTGGCAGATTGAGGGGAAGGGCATTGTGGATGCGGAAGTTCGATTCTCCTACCATCTGCTCAGAGTGTTTCCACTTCTCGGTGGCCTTGGGAACTGACTCATCCTCATGCTGGAGTTCTGCATTGTTGCGGGTGCAGACCTCAGTGCTGTATATTTCTTTCTGTTTCTTTGTTATGGGGAGAGAAGTCAGCTTGCCTCTATGCCACCATTTTGGAACAGGAAACTCCTTAAGATTCTAAGTTTAAAAACAATTTTGGAGTTATTTATTCCAATAGGTATCAAGATGTTAGAAGTTAGTACCTTTGACACATATGGAATATTGAGTTTGATGTGCTATAGTTCTGACCCATGTGACCCTTATCTTGATTCAAGGGTAACAATATACATCTCAAAGCTATTGGTCCCAGACATACTCCATTAAGTCTTCTAACTCAGCACTTGTAATACTATAGGACTTATTTACAAATGTGTCTGTCCTTCTCTACTAGACCAAAGGCCTCTGAAAACAGGGACTATCTTTGTATTCTTAGGACCTAGGCCATTTCCTGGAATTGGTAAGTATTTGCTGAATGAATAAGTAAAAGAATGAATGACTAGACAATTGAAAACAGTTGTAGCTCAAGGAAAGACATAAATTACTGGATATCAAGACATACTACTTGGCAGTTCTACTTTTGACAAAATTGGAAAAAACCCCAAAAACCCACTCATATAGCTTGGAAATAATCACCTCTCTGAGACCAAACAAGTCTTACAGCAACACTGACCAACAAGCAGGATTTACTGTCCAGTATCTTGGGAAGAAACATCTAGTAGGTGATATAAACCAGAGAAGAAAGTAATCAGCCTCCATCTTGGTTTCAGAATATGATTCTGTTCATTGAAGTCCCTCTTGCTGACTTGCTTACCAGACAGACTATGGACCTGATCTGAACATGTACTATTTTCTGCATCTCTCTGTATTTGGCTACTTGTCTGCTTGGACTTTTGGAACATAATTGCTTTTCTTTCACTCAGATGCTCTCTTTAGGCTTGACTCTTTGCCATAGGAAACTTCACGTTACTTCGCTGAGCCTCAGATTTGCTCATCTTTCATATGGGTCTAGAATCATACATGGCAAACAGTGCTGTTGAGAATGAGGCACATATGTTAAAACACTGAATATTTATTCATTCTCAAATATTTATGGAGTACCTGTCCATAGATACAGTAATATATGAGATACACTCCTTGCCCTCCAGGAACTCACAGCTGAGTTAATCAGATAGAGAAGAAAAAGGGCAATGACAATACAGTGTATTAAGGAAGAAGCTATGAGGCATATACAAATTTCTTGGAGATCACACAGGTGGAAATAGTTTACTAAAATCTGGCTGTTCAAGAGCAGTCTAAAGGTCTGCTATCCTGATGTGCAGCCAAGAGCCTCTTTGCCACAGCCTACCATGAGGCCAAGCGCCCAGCTACAGCTATATAAAGATGAAGGGAAAAGACAGCACAGCAGCCGTAGCAACCCAAACTTCACATTAAAGGCAGGCCCAATAGGAAGCACACATCTTACCTCTCCTCTGCGAATATGGATGCTCCTTATAATTCGCTCTAAGAAGCCAATCTGCTGTGTGAGACGAAGACTATTTTCCTGTAATTGCTTATTTTCTTTATCCATGTAAACTACCCTAAGAATGGCATAAATCAGTGGCATGATTAGAAATTTCTGTATCATTACTAAAAACCCAAAACTACATTCCCACTGGCTCTGGATCTTAGACCACTGTCCAGATTTTAGAAGCAAGTTTGACAGAATAATTCCCACCATATTCCAAGACCAAGTGTGATATTAATACTGAGTGTCAACTTAATTGGATTGAGGGATACAAAGTATTATCCTGGGTGTGTCTGTGAGGGTGTCACCAAAAGAGATTAACATTTGAGTCAGTGGGCTGGGAAAGGCAGATTCACCCTTAATCTAATCAGCTTCCAGCGAATATAAAGCAAGCAGAAAAACGTGAAAAAGAGAGACAGGCTTCGCCTCCCAGTTTACATCTTTCTCCCATGCTGGATGCCTCCCGCCCTCGAACACAGGACTCTGAGTTCTTCAGTTTAGGGACTCAGACTGGCTCTCCTTGCTCCTCAGCTTGCAGACAGCCTATTGTGGACCTTGTGATCATGTAAGTTAATACTTAATAAACTCCTCTTTATTTATATATATATATGTATATACACACACACACAGTCTCCTTTACACATATATACATACATATATATACACACACACATATGGGAGTGTGTGTGTGTGTGTGTATATATATATATCTCCTGTTCTGTCCCTCTAGGAGAACCCTAATACACGAAGTAAAAGTTAATAAGATTTTGGGCTGTACATGGTTATTAAATACATGTACAAGAGTATTAATTCTAGCCCTTGAAAAATTTAAGGAAGGATATGATCCCATTTAGGGATGGGAATGAAACAAGAGAGGCTCTGTATCCCTTCAAATATTGTAGCTACATAGCTTGTATCTGGTTCTGTTCTCATACTGATCTGCTTCTGATTTCTTGTGAAGTAGAAATAGTAGTAGCAGTAGCAGCAACCATGTTTCAAGTACTTGCCATGTACTTTATGCAATGTAACCTACCCACACCATAAGCACTTAAAACTTTTCATGTATTAGCTCATTTAATATGCATAGCAACCTGATGAAATATAAACTGTTGTGACAAATCTGAGCCTCCGTTTCCTTATCTGTAAAATGACGAAATACTCCTTGGAAGAAACTTACTCTAAGGAAAACATTCAAGTCCAATCCAGGTGATTGTGTCATCAGTAGGGCAAGGTAGAAAGATTATTCATGTTAATGCAAAGGTAATGAGTTAATTGTGTTAGATCCTGACTGTCAGAAGCTATGACAGTTTGAGAAGATCAGTGATTTATATGGGACATCTAAAAGGGAGACACAGAGAGTAAAAGATCATCAGAGATTCTCCAAGCCTGCCCAGAGATGTGTGCCCAAAGGAGTGGACAAGAATATTCCAGTCTGCTTGGCAGTCCTCTCCCCAGACTATGGTGCTATGGTTTAGGGTCAGGCTGCTGAGGTCCACATGCTGCTCTGTCACTGACTGGGCTGGGTAAGTTCCCTCACCTCTCTAGACCTTGGCTTCCTATCTGTAAAATAAGGCTAATAGTGCCTCTCTCCTGGGATTGGTGTTAGGATTAAATGAATGAGAGAGCTAGCATATAGTAATTGCTCAGACAAATCTTAATCATTCCAATTATTATTGGTGACATTATTTGTTAACATTAACCCACTCTCTTTGATTATAATTAAAGTCTCCTATGAAGAAGAGAATGCTCAGGCTGGCTGAAATGTAACTTATTTTCTGCTTATAATATTTCTCATTAAAAATTAATACACTGGTATCCTGTGGATTTCACGAATTTAAGTTACTTCTGTGAGCCTAATTCTCTTTTATTCTACCTTGATTCCATAGGTATTGAATAATAAAAATGTGGATCAACACACACAAAATGACAGGCCAGAATGCACACAGCCAAGTCCTCAGTGAGGCGATGACATTATGAAACAGCCTATCTAAATAGCCAACCAGCCTCCTCCATTATATTTTTCTCTTTGATTTAACAATTTCTGCCACTTGTATGATCTGCTGAAAACAGCAGACAGCAGAGCGAGAGTTATAGGGTAGGCTACAAACTCAAAGGACAGTCTCTAGAACCACCTCTTTGTTGAGGGAGAAACATCCTGTTGTGGAGTTCATTGGCTCCAGGCAGGATGGCACCTACCTGCTCTGGATGGAAGATATCGTCCATTTGTTGCTGTGGATCAACTGTTCTTGCTCTATGACTTGCTCCTGAAGTTTCCTTTTTTCTAGAAGCAGGGTATCATTTTGGGCAGTGATCTGGTCCTGTATTGCCTTCTCCTAGGGATTAGAAAGTCTCCTAATTACCACAGCAGGAGAATGATAAATTTAAGAGCATAAGCCTGTTTCTAAATCTAGCAGAAATTTTCCCTTACTTTTTTTTCTCCTGTCCCCTAGTCTGTTTCTACCTGTTTGCTGACATTGTCATTCATTGTAGCTAAATAGTTTTTCAGTTTTCGAGAGGTTATTTTATGTCATATATATATATATAATTTTTTTTTTTTTCTTTGAGATGGAGTCTCACTCTATCACCCAGGCTGGAGTACAGTGGTGCTATCTTGGCAAGCTCCACCTTCTGGGTTCACGCCATTCTACTGCCTCAGCCTCCCAAGTAGCTGGGACTACAGGCGCCTGCCACCACGCCTGGCTAATTTTTTTGTATTTTTAGTAGAGACGGGGTTTCACCGTGTTAGCCAGGATGGTCTCTATCTCCTGACCTCGTGATCCGCCCGCCTTGACCTCCCAAAGTGCTGGGATTACAGGCGTGAGCTACCGCGCCCGGCCTATGTCATGTATTTTTTTTTCTTCTTTTTCATGACCCTGAAAGTAGTGAGATCATGTTTTTTGTTTTGTTTTGTTTTGTTTTGACATGGAGTCTTTCTTTGTCACCCGGGCTGGCGTGCAGTGGCACAATCTCGGCTCACTATAACCTCTGCCTGCCAGGTTCAGCCTCAGTCTCCTGAGTAGCTGGGATTACAGGCATCTACCACCATACCCAGCTAATTTTCATATTTTTAGTAGAGACAGGGTTTCGCCATGTTGGTCAGGCTGATCTTGAACTTCTGACCATAAGTGATCTGCCTGCCTTGGCCTCCCAAAGGTTTGGGATTACAGGTGTGAGCCACTGTGTCTGACTGTGGTTTTTTGTTTGTTTGTTTGTTTTTATAGACAAGGTCTAGCTCTGTCATCCAGACTGGAGTGCAGTGGTACAATCATGGCTCATGGTAACCTCACACCTGGGCTCAAGCAATCATGTGCCTCAGTCTCCTGAGCAGCTAGGACTACAGGCATGAACCACCACAGCTGGCTAATTTTTAAATTTTTTGTAGAGTCAGATGCCGGGTGCCATGGCTCACACCTGTAATCTCAGCACTCTGGGAGGCCAAAGTGGGAGGATTGCTTGAGCCCAGGAGCTCGAGACCAGCCTGGTCAACATGGTGAGACCCTGTCTCCACACACACACACACACATGAAAGCCACATGTGGAGTTCAAGGCCGCAGTGAGCTAGGATCGCACCATTGCACTCTAGCCTGGGTGACAGAACGAGACTCTGTCTCAAAAAAATTTTTTTAACATAAAAAATAAAATAGTAGAAACAGGGTCTTGCTCTGTCGCTCAGGCTGGTCTCAAACTCCTAGCCTCAAACTACCCTCCTGCTTCAGCCTCCCAGAGGACTGGGATTACAGGCATGAGACACTGTACTCAACCTACATGTTTCTTTTAAATAAGATACTAATGTAGGTCATTCAGAAAAGACTGGTCATCTATTGTTATTATTAATTTTAGAGAGTTTCGCTCTTTCACCCAGGCTGGAGTGCAGTGGTGTAATCTCGGCTCACTGCAACCTCTGCCCCCTGGGTTCAAGCAATTCTCCTGCCTCAGCCTCCTGAGTAGCTGAGATTATAGGTGCCCACCACCGTGCCCAGCTACTTTTTGTACTTTTAGTAAAAATAGGGTTTTGCCATGTTGGCCAGGCTGGTCTCGAACTCCTGACCTCAGGTGATCCACCCACTTCGGCCTCCCAAAGGGCTAGAATTACAGGCATGAGCCACCACGCCTGGCCAGCCATCTATTGTTAAAGACCTATAGGATGTAGATTAGATGATGTTCTGGAAAAACTATTCCAGATTTTAAAGTCCGTCTCAGAGACCCTGCAATATCTAATGGTAGTCTCACCTGCTATAATTTAAAGACATTGAATTAATAATGTATTGGTAAGGATTGAAATAGAAGCAATCATCTCACAGATAAATCCTAGACAGCTTTAACTGGATTAAAAAGTGTACTGCATGAGGAAGGTGACTGACAGCTTGTCCTTGGGAAATACTGTATTTTTTAAAACAAACAAAAATTCCAGACACATGCTGTGATAATAAGATAAAATGGGAAAGTGTAGTTTGAGTGGTCACAAAAGAAATCTCAACTGACTCATTATATAAAGAAAAAGCTGAAGGAATGAAGCCAAAAGAAGTGGCATTACTTTTTGGAGACTTAGAAAGCAAATCTGGCATTTTTATGCTCAGTGCTCTGGTCCTTAGGCCCTAAAATACATAAAATAAGAATTCCTAGGTTTGTACCACTGTGGCATTAAAAGCTCTAACATCAGTCTTCTCTAGGCTAAATAGTTCTAATTTGGTTAACAATTTCTCATGTGAACAATGAGTCCACCAATTAACATGCTTCTAAGAGATTTTTTTGGTTTTTTTTGAGACGAAGTTTCACTCTTGTCACCTAGGCTGGAGTGCAGTGGTGCAATCTTGGCTTACTGCAACCTCCACCTCCCTGGTTCAAGCAATTCTCCTGCCTCAGCCTCCCAAGTAGCTGGGATTGCAGGTGTGAGCCACTGCACCTGGCCCTTCTAAGAAATTATATACCAAAAAAAGGAGAATAACATCTACGAAAAATTTATATGTGCCAAGTACCACTTTAGAAATTTTATGTTTTAATATTCACAGAAGACTGGTGTATGTAGGGAAGGGATTATTTCCCTCATTTTACAGATGAGGAGAGTGATACACAGAGACTTGTCCGAGCTTACAGGCAGGGCTATAATTTGAATGCAGGTCTACCTAAGGCCAAAGCCCACAGTACCCTTCAATGGCAGTGAGCAAAAGATCTAATTATTCTCTCAGCCTCTGCTTATTTGGGAGCTCCAGCATATTTTATGAAGACCCGTGGTTCTTTGGGTAGGTGCATTAGTTTCCTAGGGCTGCCATAACATTTTCTCATAGTTCTGAGTGGTAGAAAACTGAAATTACATTGTTGTCAGGGTTAATTACTCATGGGGGCTCCAAGAGAGATTGTGTTGCATGCCTTTCTCCTAGTTTCTTGTGGTTGCCAGCAACCCTTGCTATTTCTTGGCTTGTAGCTGTATCATTCCAGTCTCTGACTTCATCATCATGAGGCATTCTTCCCCTTTCTGTGTCTGTCTGTGTGTTTTCCCCTCTTCCTGTAAGGACAGCAATCATCTTAGATTTATGATTCACCCTAATCCAGGATAATCTCATCTTAACTAAGTATATCTGCAAAGACCCTATTTCTATATAAGGTCACATTCTGAGGTTCTAGGACATGAATTTGAGGGGACACTATTCAATCCAGTATAGTCAGGAAGAAAGCGAGCATGCCTGTTGAAAGGAGAAGACTGTTTTTCCAGCCTAGAAGCAAAATGCAAAAGTATGAAAAAGAACTGATAATACAGAAATAGGCTGATGATATGTCTGATGGATCCATGAACTAGGGTTGCTACTTTTTTTTCCTTTCTTTCTTTTCTTCTTTATTTATTTATTTATTTATTTGAGACGGAGTTTTGCTCTTGTCCCCCAGGCTGGTGTGCAATGACATGATCTCGGCTCACTGCAACCTCCGCCTCTTGGGTTCAAGAGATTCTCCTGCCTCAGCTTCCTGAGTAGCTGGAATTACAGGCTTGTACCACCATGCCTGGCTCATTTTTTTGTATTTTCAGTAGAGATGGGGTTTCACCATGTTGGCCAGGCTGATCTCAAACTCCTGACCTCAGGTGATCCGCTCACCTTGGCCTCCCAAAGTGCTAGGATTACAGGTGCAAGCTACCGTGCCCAGGGTCGTCGTCGTCTTTTTTTTATTTTTGCCCATGGGTACTACTAAAATGGATTGCTACTTTTTCTTATACACTTTCCATAGTCTTTTCCTAGTTCTAAGCTGGATCTCAGTCTCTAAAAGTTTGACAAAGTAACGGCAAAAAAGGAGGACTGCAAACATCCAACTTATTTTTCTTCTTTCACTATAGTTTAGAGTATCAAGAGGATTTTTTATTTTTGTTAGAGACAGAGCCACTCTATGTTGCCCAGGCTGGAGTGCAGTGGCTATTTATAAGCACAATTATAGCTCACTGTAACCTTGAACTCCTGGCCTCAAGCAATCCTCCTGCCTTGGCCTCCCAAAGTGTTGGAATTACAGGCATGGACCATTGCACCCAGCCAATTTTTTAAAACTAAGAATGCAGTATTTGTGACCCACCTGTTATACTCCAAAAATGCTTTATTGTGTATAGTCTGGGAATTCTTGACCTAGAGTCCCAGGATAATTGAAGGAATCACTGAAATTACATTAATGGTTATGGTATCCTTGGCACATAGTGGTGGTATAAAAATTTGTTGAATGTGGAAATTAATATTTTAGGAGTGATGACAGAGTTCTCAAAATTCTGAAAGGGCTAGTGATCCCAAGAAGGGAAAACCTTACTGGCCTAGTCAGTTACTCTCCATCTTGAAATTATGTAGTTTAATAATCCCACAACCATTCTGCATATGATTCTATTCATTTGCCCCATTTCCTTCTTATTCATACACCACTAAGTCACAAGGGCAGTAAGACAAATATAAATAAACCATGGACATTTAGAAAAAAGCTTGAGGGCAAGGACTGATACAGGAGTAAGGATCACCTATTTTCACTGCCATTTAAAACTGACACTGAAGTCTGAGGCAAAATGAGGGCTCCACAAAGCAGAAATGAGTTACTAAGAGTGGTTTGGGAGTCTGTGCTCGGGGGTGTTCAAGAAAAGGCATTTCCATCTGAAGGCAAGACACTGATCATAAGTTGGCAGTACAGAGTATTTTCAGTATTCACTTCCGTTTAGCAGCACTAGAAGTCTTATGTACTTTTGGTCAGGGCTTAAAGAATTACTCATTGAAAGATGGTGCAAAGAAAAGAAATGAAAACAAGCACTACGAAGGGGTCACAAATAATTTTTAAAACGAAAGGGCTTTCTCCAAATGGTTGACCATGGGAATCACCAGTGAGCTCTTCACCTTTTATTTTTTCCTCACCTTTTCTATTTTATGTTGCAGGATTCCAATTTCATCTTCAAATTCGTTAATTCTCTTATCTCGTAGTTCTACTTCATTCGTTAAACGATACTTGACTTTTTGAAGCTTGATTTTGTGTTGCTGATGTTTCTCATTATAGTTTCTGTAAAAGTAAGTTTGAGTTTAGACACATCTGAACACAGTTAAAATTTCTTTTGCCTCCTCAACATGCACCTTTCTTGGGTTTCCTCTTCTTGCTTAAGTCAGGGGCCTGGCACTGGATGTAGATACTTATCCTGCCTCACATCTTCCTGCCCTCCATTTCAGGGAGTGGGCCAAGGATAACTCCCTACATAACACCAGCTTTAATTACTGCTGTGGACTGTGGACTCAAGTATTTGGCTTATCTTGGTCTTTTTTGTTTTTTCTTTTTTTTTTTTTTAGACGGAGTCTTGCTCTGTCGCCCAGGCTGGAGTGCAGTGGCACAATCTCGGCTCACTGCAACCTCTGCCTCCCGGGTTCAAGTGATTCTCCTGCCTCAGCCTACCGAGTAGCTGGAATTACAGGCATGCACTACCATGCCCGGCTAATTTTTTGTATTTTTAGTAGAGACGGGGTTTCTCCATGTTGGTCAGGCTGATCTCGAACTCCTGGCCTCAGGTGATCCTCCCGCCTTGGCCTCCCAAAGTGCTGGGATTACAGGCGTGAGCCACTGCGCCCGGACTACCTTGGTCTTGTGCTGATGGTTGTGGTATAACTTCAGCATCTGAGTTTAATTTAGGAAACTCCTTGATTTCTGATCCCTGACATCTAAATTCTGACTCCTGTTCCACCAATTCAGTCATTAACTTAAACGTTCCTCATTCTTGGCTGTATCTTGGACAGTGATCTACTCACTTCAATCTTATCTAATTTCCAGATAACTGGGCCTGTTCTCAGTCCTTGCATTGAGTCTGGACCTCTTCTTCTTTTTTTGACACAGGGTCTCACTCTGTCACCCAGGCTGGAGTGCAGTGGTATAATCATGGCTCACTACATCCTTGACCTCCTGAGCTCAAGCAATCCTCCCACCTCAGCATCCCAAGTAGTGCACACCACCACACCTGGCTATTTTTTTTTTATTTTTTGTAGAGATGGGTGTTTCACATGTTGCCCAGGCAGGTCTTAAACTCTGTCTCAAGCTATCCTCCTGCCTCAGCCTCCCAAAGTGTTGGGATTACAGGCATAAGCCACCCAGCAAATCTGGACTTCTAAAAGCCAGTTCCATGTAGGTCACTGTTCAAGACTCTGATTCTTAGATACATCTGAGTTATGGCCAATAAGCACATGAAAAGATGCTTAACATTACTAGCTATTAAGGAAATGAAGATCAAAAGCACAATGAGATACCGCTTCACACACACTAGGATGGCTAGAAAAAAATGACAGATAATAACAAGTGCTGACAAGGATGCAAAGAAATTGGAACCCTTATACACTGCAGGCAGGAACATAAAATAGTATAGTGTTTTTGGAAAATAGCCTGGCAATTCCTCAAATGGTTAAACATAGAGTTGCCATTTTTTTTTTTTTTTTTTTTTTTTTGAGATGGAGTCTCGCTCTGTTGCCCAGGCTGGAGTGCAGTGGCGCAATCTCAGCTCACTGCAAGCTCTGCCTCCCGGGTTCATGCCATTCTCCTGCCTCAGCTTCTCTAGTAGCTGCGACTACAGGTGCCCACTACCATGCACGGCTAATTTTTTATATTTTTAGTAGAGAGGGGGTTTCACCGTGTTAGCCAGGATGGTCTCGATCTCCTGACCTTGTGATCTGCCTGCCTCGGCCTCCCAAAGTGCTGGGATTACAGGTGTGAGCCACCACACCTGGCCTAGAGTTGCCATTTGACCCAACAATTCTACCTAGGTATATATATTCAAGATAAATGAAAACATATGTCCACACAAAAACTTACACACAAATGTTCATAGCAGCATTATCCATAACAGCCAAAAGGTGGAAACCACCCAGATTGCCATCAACTGATGAGTGGATAAACAAATAGAGTATATCTAGGCAGGCATGGTGGCTCACACCTGTAATCCCAGCACTTTGGGAGGCCAAGGCAAGTGGATCACTTGAGGTCAGGAGTTCAAGACCAACCTGGCCAACGTGATGAAACCCCATCTCTACTAAAAATACAAAAATTAGCTAGGTGTGGTGGTGGGCGCCTGTATTCAGGAGGCTGAGGCAGGAGAATCACTTGAACCCAGGAGGCGGAGGTTGCAGTGAGCCGAGATCATGCCACTGCACTCCAGCCTGGGCAACAGAGGGAAACTCCATCTCAAAAAACAAACAAACAAACAAACAAACAAAAAAACCAAATAGAGTATATCCATACAATGTCCTAAAAAGAAAGGAAGTACTGATACATGCTACCATGAACCTTGAAAGTATTATTCTAAGTAAAACAAGCCAGGCACAACAGACCAAATATTGTATGATTCCATTTATATGAATTGTCAGTAATAGGCAAATTTAGAGAGAAAGAAAGTAGATGAGTGGTTGCCTAGTCTGGTGGTGGGGAGGGAATTGGGGATAGGGTGATAGCTAAAGAGCATGGGGTTTCTTTTAGGATAATAAAATGTTCTAATGTTGATTGTGGTAACAATCAAAACATGGACAAAAGCCATTGAACTATACACTTTAAATGAGTGAATTGTATAATATTTGAATTATATTGCAATAAAGCTGTTTAAAAAACCAAACAAACAAAAATCTAAGTTACCATTTCAAGCTACTATAACATCTAATCAGAGTAAACAACAAAGTAGATTAAAGCATCCATACTACCACTAGCCAAACCTCTTGGAGTATGACTGTGATACAAACAAAAAGAATGTTGTTCTTTAAAATTACGGAGAAGCTTCACTTTGAACCTACTAGATAGGATTACACCAAATAACTCTAAACCAGCCTCTGTACTATTCACATTTTAGGCCTGATAAATATTTGTTGTAGAAGGCTATAATGTGCACTACAGAATGCTTAGTAGCATCACTGGCCCCCACCCACCAGATGCCAGTAGCACCTCCTACAGTGGTAACAACTAAAACGGTCTCCAGACATTGCCAAATGTCCCTTTGCCCTGGAAGGCTGTAAATTTTTTTTTTTTTGAGACAGTCTTGCTGTGCAGCCTTGATCTCCCCAGCTCAAGTGACCTTTCCACCTCAGCCTCCTGAGTAACTGGGACTACAGGTGTGCATCACTATTGATATGGTTTGGCTATCTCCTCACCAAAATCTTATCTTGTAGTTCCCATAATCCCCATGTATCATGAGCAGGAGGTGATACCTGGTAGGAGGTAATTGAATCATGGGGGCGGTTGCCTCCATACTGTTCTATTGATAGTGAGTGAGTTCTCATGAGATCTGATGGTTTTATAAGGGGTTTTCCCCCTTTTGCTCAGCACCTCTCCTTGCTGCCGCCATGTGAAGAAGGACATGTTTGCTTCCCCTTGTGCCATGATTGTAAATTTCCTGAGGCCTTCTCAGCAATGCTGAACTGTGAGTCAATTAAACGTCTTTCCATTATAAATTGCCCAGTCTTGGGTATGTCTTCATTAACAGCATGAGAACTGCCTAACACAACTATGCTCAGTTAACTTTTAAAACAATTTTTAGTAGACACAAGGTCTCGCTATGTTGCCCAGGCTGGTCTGGAACTCCTAGCCTCAAATGATTCTCCCACCTCGGCTTCCCAAAGTGCTAAGATTACAGATATGAGACACGGGTCTGGCCTGGGAGGCTGTGATATTGACAAAGATATATTTGGTCTCCCTCCCAGTTTTCTGGTGAAAACACACACACACACACACACACACACACACACACATACACACACGCACGCACACACACACAACAACAAAAAAACCCTCTTAAGTCCTTGGAATCTTCTCTGGAGTAATAAGTATCTTTTGTATGTTGATGAGATGACTGGTGTCTGGAGGCCCTTAGAGAGCTCCAGGATACTAAGGCAGGATGAGAGAGTTGAGGCTTCCAGGCCCAAACCCGTATCATTCAGGGAGGGGAGAGGATGAAGGTTGAGTTGAATCACCAGTGGCCAAGGATTTAATCAATCATGTTGAGAAAAGAAAAATAACTCAGAGCAGTCTGAGCTATGTGAAGCATGCAAAATTCATCAGGCCCAAAGACACGAGTATAGAACTTCAGTCATTACCTGCCCCCATTCAGTCTTTTTATAACTGAATTTGCTTGGGGGTGACTGTTTTAAAGTCATTTTGTTTCTGACTAGCTGCCTCACTTGTTATTTTCTGTTCTTGAAATTTGTGATACAAATAATAATGTATAGCTGGCCAGGCGTGTTGGCTTACACCTGTAATCCCAGCACTTTGGGAGGCAGAAGCGGGCAGATCACTTGAGGTCAGGAGTTCAAGACCAGCCTGGCCAACACGGCAAAACCACATCTCTACTAAAAATATAAAAATTAGCTGGGCGTGGTGATGCACATCTGTAATCCCAGCATCTCAGGAGATTGAAGCACCAGAATTGCTTGAACCTGGAAGGTTGCAGTGAGCTGAGATTGTGTACTGCATTCCAGCCTGAGCAACAGAGCAAGACTGTCTCTGAAAAAAACAGAACAATGTATTGCCAATCAATGTATAGCTTATGCTATTTATTTATTTACTTTTTTTTTTTTTTTTTTTTGAGATGGAATTTCGCTCTTGTTGCCCAGGCTAGAGTGCAATGGCGCAATCTTGGCTCACGGCAACCTCCGCCTCCCAGGTTCAAGCAATTCTCCTGCCTTAGCCTCCCAAGTAGCTGGGATTACAGGTGTGCACCACCACACCTGGCTAATTTTGTATTGTTAGTAGAGACAGGGTTTCTCCATGTTGAGGCTGGTGGCGAACTCCTGACCTCAGGTGATCTGCCCGCCTCGGCCTCCGAAAGTGCTGGGATTACAGGCGTGAGCCACTGCACCCAGCCTTATTTACTTATTTTAAGATAGAGTCTCACTCTATCGCCCAGGTTAGAGTACAGTGACATGATCTTGGCTCACTGCAACCTCCACCTCCCAGGTTCAAGCAATTCTCCTGCCTCAGCCTCCTGAATAGTTGAGATTACAAGCATGTGCCACCACACCCAGCTCAACCACAGCAGGATAGGGCAC